CCTTACAAAATTATACTTTTCATTCATGTATTTTTGTTTTAGATGAATTTTCGGCCACGGGCCATGATCACATCAATGCCAAATATAAGAATATTGGAAGACAAAATACAAATTAGGCAGCAAATTAGGTACAAGTCGAATCATCGTCAGTTTCTATCTTTCTACTTTTCGCGTGATAAGAATGACAGGCACTTTCACACTTGGTAATGGGTACACTCAAGTAATCGTTACATTCGCACATATCTGCATGGAAACATGAAAAAAACACACTTAACCTCATCCTATCACTATAAAGGGGGCATTCCACGTCAAGTGGGACAAAAAATGATCATTTTGAACCTCACCTCCTCCGATTTTTGCGAAACTTTGTGAAACTGCTCATCTATATGTGAAAAGAAAGGAGACATATTTTTGTCAAGATATGACGTCACGTTTCCGAGATACACGTCATCAAACATTGACTTAGGCAAGGCACATTATCATCTTTAAAGCGTCATAACCATAGAAGTTTTAGACATATCACCACGAGACAAAGTGTGAAATGGAGGGAATAGGTCAGGCTTTAATTTGAGGATAATAATATTGACGTAATTAACTAATTAGTGAACTTAATTAAAATTCAAAAAATAAATTTTGATTTTCTGAAAAATGGGTACCCTTCGATGTTGCTAATTTTTACATATTTTATTCTCCTATACATTAGCTACATCATATAAAAAATCCAGAATGGGCCGACGACTACGTAACTGTCTTTTGGACTTCGTAATGTCTGGCACTCGCGTGTTTCGTTTTAGCAACCAAGGAGAGGCGCTACCCGGAGATGCTTCTTTCTACCCCAAACCAAAGCAAACCTAACCTGACCTGACGTGACCTGACCTAACCTAACACGCGTAAATATGTACAGCCCTCACGGCAGTTGCCGACTGGCCAAATGCCACCTAGATACGAACATTAGCCCTTACGACAGTTGCCGGCTGGCCAGATGCTACTTGAAAAAACAAATGCGTATTGAACACTTCAGGCTGACCCGCTGCGAGCCAGCGACCTTTAGATTTCGAGGTGGGTACACTCGGCGCACTTACTACTAAGCCACGAAGATAGCTGGTCATCGTAAGCCAGTTTTTAATGATGAATTTGGGCATTCTCCGGGCAGCGCCTCTCTTTGGTTGCAAAAAGAAAATACGCCTGACTCTCCCAGCGCTAGGGGAGAAAAGCCCGGTTTAGCCAAAAAGGTATAAAAAACGGAATTTGAAATGTAGGTGGGGCGGTGGGGAACTTTATCGTGTGCCGATTTCATGGCCCTAGATCAATATATTCAAGATCAAATGAGGTTAAACGTGATCAAATTTGCTATAGTGACTATTTTGCGTTTATACGCCCATAGCTCTAAGAGATACTGGCCGATTTTCCTATTTCTTCCTTTTTACGACATTTGTAGTGTTATGAGAATCTCTAGTTAATCTTACCATAAGCTTGGCAGTTAGTGGCTTGCTAAGAGTAAGATGTCGCCGGCAGTGGCGGGGATCGGCCGACGCGGGAAACGTCATAGTCACATATTGTGTTTGCACCCTAAAGATTTAATTTTGCCAGTTGATTTTCGTATTTATTTGAACATTAGATTGCCTGTCCATTTTTAAGCCTTCACACACAGTTTGACACGAATCGATCATAATCAGCGGTAAGAAGCGCGGTGCAAAGATTGAACCGTCCCGCGCCGGCACAGTCTACCATTCAGGCGGCAACGGCCGGCGCCGGCCGCCGAGCCGCTCCGGCAGGAATGCTTGACTTTACACCGCTATTACTAGAAAAATTGTGGACCGATTTACCTATTTCTTGCACGGGAGGATTTGCAATTCGATTCTGGACAGATACTTAGAGTTTGACGTTAATATGATAATTATGGCGTGAGTTATTGGCGATAAACAGGTGGAGTTAGCGAAATCGGCCCCTTCCACCGCCCGTGCTACGTTGCACTACTTGTTGCTATATCATCCAAAGTTATCGTTGGCCCACTCTAATTTTCTCAGCACGTGTGCCTTACGTCTAGTGGAAGACAATATCTAAATTTGAGCAAAATCGAAGGGTAGGTACCCATTTTTCACAAATTGCATTTTAAGAAATTAATTCAAAATAAAATAAATTCAAAATCACCAAAAAATGTAAAAATTGTCAAATTTTTCTTGCATAACTCCTTATGTACACGTTTCAGTTTGTTTGACATTAATAGCTTCAAAAATGTTGAAGCTATAGATCTTTCAAGATTGCAATACACGTCCAATTCTGCTCAAAAAGCAGAAGTTTAGCGACTTGTATCTCTGTAGCCCGAGGGCATATGACAAAATCCTTTCACCCTCAGAGGTTTCACCCGATAGCCAATAAGTATACCAAGTTTGAACAAAATCGTAGAGGTGGCCGATTTTGGCTGTCCCGGTTGACATGGAATGCCCCAAAGGTAACACTTTGCTTTCCATGATACACATTTGGCACAAAATACTTAGGTAGGAATTACTGACTTATGAATGTGCGTAGGCATGATGTCGGCGGCGAGTGATAACAGCTACAAAATGTGCCAAGAAGATATGTTTCGGTTGAGAACCGGTCTGTGTTTGCGAATTTGGATAGATTCACATATTTTTCTGTGTGGATGGTCACTTGTCTTTTGCAGGATTTCTACCGATAAAGGTGTGTTCCCTGAAGTGTCAAGATACTCCTGATGAGTGACGGTAAAATGATCTCCGATGGGCGTATCCGGTGTTTTGTTTTTAGCGTTTCTAAGGTGTTCGTTAAATCGCAGCCTGATGGGTCTTTTTGTCTCTCCTACGTATGTGACATCCTCCCCCCTTACTTTGCACAGCGCACAGGTGATTTTGTAGACTACCCCAGAAGTTAAGCATTTACCTTTAAGACCAGACTCACAAGCATGACATGTCCGTGTGCCAGACGGGCATTGTGGCTGAGAGAAAGCCTAACGAGTTAGAGCGCTTTTGAGAGTTTTAGTGTTACGCCATGCTACGCGTACGTTTAGGCCTGACTTTTTAACGATGACGATGATTCGACTTGTACCTAATTTGTATTTTGTCTTCCAATATTCTTATATTTGGCATTGATGTGATCATGGCCCGTGGCCGAAAATTCATCTAAAACAAAAATACATGAATGAAAAGTATAATTTTGTAAGGAGGTCATTCAAAAAACAATTAAACGATTATAAGTAAAATCGTCTCAACAGAAAAAATGCGGTGACCTGCGTATCGTTTTTGCGCTATTGGATTTGGGATTCAACGCTCAACTACCATGCCGAGCACGACGTGCAAGTGTACGAGTATACCCCCAGCCACTACCAGTCCCGTGTGACCGGTTTCACACGTGCCACATTGTCCACAATCTCCGCTCAGTGAACCCGTTTTGCTCACAAAATTTCACGCTCTGATTTCCGCTCGATCCGTATCGCAGGTGTTCTCGCTCCGTGCGTGGAAATGTTCCTGTCGCCGCCGGTTGACACAGTTGGTGTCACCGGTCGGGCGCTGCGCGTGTTCGCCCAGCTATCACCAGTGATTATCGGCCACTTGCCAGCCGACCAGCTGTGAGGTCACAGAGGCGCACAAACGGGCGCCAGCTGGGGGACCAGCATTGGCAGAGGCCCGAGCGTTCTGCAGTCCCATCGACGGCTCTTGCCAATGTCAGACGCCAATGCCGTCTGTCTCACTTATAAATACTAGTTACGCAGAAGCTTAATCCTTTGATAAATGTGATTTTCTTCATCTTGAAAAGGCTCCATCCGTTAATCGACTTGTTTCTATGCTTGCTTTTATCTAACCGATGGGTAGTCACGACTGCAAATCAACGAGCAACAAACGTCACTTGCTTACATATATCAGCACTTGATCGATTCGCCTAACTACGAAAGTAATATCACATATCAGTGCCTACCCTATAAGTAAATACAGTTGGAATTAAGACGAGATAAACTTACAAGAGAAGTAGAGATCACCTGTGTGTACCAAACTATTTTCGCTGGTGACGTTCCTGCGTCTTATACGGTAACGCACATGTTGGCAAGTTTAAAACAATGCATTTTTTGTCGCCTAAGCAAGGGCTTTTACGCTGCAAGCCGATGACACGATAGCAACCGACACATTACTGTTAGCTTTCACACCACTAGCACCTGCCACGTGTCTAAAAGATTTTCGCTGAATCACCAAGTCATTGATAAGGTCTTACAGGGTCAAACCGGAAGAATGTCAACAAAAGTCGCTAAATGCTTAGATATACGACTTACGAGTGTGTATATTCTCCGTCGAATAAGCTGCAACGCTAATGGCCTGCTTCGCGCTTCTAAATTCCTTCTGTTCTACATGACCTGTAATGTTTAAATGGACTGGTCTCTATGTTGTGGACAGGTTTTTAACTTTCACTTCATTTTGCATAAAACGACTTCTGAGTAATAAGTTCTAATGGCACATAAGTCGATTTATTTGGGTAGAGATTTACGGTCGTTCAAGTTAAGTAAATATTGCCCAACGCCTTTTTGAATAATACCTAACATAGGTGATGCTGAAGCCGGGCCTGAAGGGCTTATGAAAGGAAGACCATAAGGGCTACTGAATATTGGTACCAGACCGAACTTGGCAGAGGGGAAGAAGGAGTGCGCCGCATCCGTTTTACCCCGCGTTCGATGTCTCTTGGACGGCGAAGATTCTACACTGTCCGGCCAATCACGTTTCATAAACGCAGCCGAGCCCCCGCTGACCTTGGACGGGATTGGCCGGACGGCAAAGAATCTTTGCCGTCCAGGAGACTTCGAACGCCGCCAGTATAACAAGTTGTGGCACTTTGGGTTGTGACTGACAACTCAAGGGACAAAATAAAGTGTAACTAAGCAGCAAACATTATCTTGACAAAAGGAGCTTCCTGAAGAGAAAGCCACGCCACGACCTTTTCTAGAATGACAAAAATCAAATCAAAGTGAAAGAAGTAGAACGCGGAACGGGCATGGTGTTCACATCGTTCACATGTCCTAATGCGGAATATCCACTAACATCCAACTTGCATCGCAATTGTTTTTCTTTACGTTTTGGACTAGATAAAGTGTTGAAACCTGTAAAGCAAGGCCTCAAGACGAGAAGAGAGAGATAAGACGAGGATACAGAGATTGCACACACATTACACAGACATCAATAAGGAATAGCGACTATAAGGCTCTGTCTAACCGATCAATCAAACAAAACAATATTGGAAATAATGTGTACGTGTTAATTTGACCTTCTAAAATAACGCGTTTTCCCGACGTTGGAGCCATAACGTACTATAAAACGTTAACTTTCCGACCGCATCTTTATTTGATGTTTATTATAAAGCACCATGGGTATCAAATCAAAGGCAAAAGCAAGAGTGAAGGAGCTCAAAAAAGTAAAATCCAAGTTGAAAGAGGGCGCAGCAGCAATTGCTGGGATTGAAACAAAAGACGACGAAGAATCAATAGCAGAAAGAAAAGAAGATAAGGCAGAAGGCGAACTAGGGAAGTTGGTGAAAAAGGGAAACGGCGTTCCGAAGGTAAACAATCGGGAGCTATGCATAAGACAGAGCCCTTTTATTTTAGTTATATACCCAAATGCCTTAGTCAGCTTGGTCATTCATGATGCAAATACGGTTCATTGAAACGTCATGTCTATTGCTGATGCACGTTTAAAGGGACCCTCCCACCTTCAAAAAAGTTAGTGAATTGGTATGAAAGTGATGTCGCTCGGTTCAGAAAGAGCAAAAACGAATATCTACCAAATTTCATCGAAAAATATTCACCGGTTTTCAAGATATTAGACTTTTACTTTTGTTTACTTTTTGGGATCTCCGCTGTTTCTAGCGACTTTATTTGAAAGTGCGGCATTTGTTGCGCGCAAAGCAGCATATACCACCGTGTGCTACAAATCGTTTTAGTCAAACATTTAACGGACGCTCGAAAGCCTGATGACGTCATCAGATTCCCGTAATGGTTAAGAGATAGGGACCACGCTGGTCCCACCCTGCAAGTAAAGGAAAGAAATTTCTTGAACACCATAAAGCTGCGGGGGTTGCGACCAGGATAAATGGTGGTTTCTGAGCCTGGCCGCAAACTTGGCTATCTCAACTCAAAACTAATGTTAAGGTGGGAGGGTCCCTTTAAATTAAATGCCAGCTTGAAATGGGATATAACAGAACATTATAACCAGCGGCATGCTCTCAGCGAACCCCAGTATGTAGCCATCTGCTGACTCAGAGTCAGATCATATTCATCTACCTCTAACTAGCCCAGACACTCATGCCGTCCGTCGCCGACTGGCCCGCTGCCGACAGCTGATGATGAGTGAGCCAGGCCGTCAGGCGTTCTGGTTCCTGATCATGCTGATCTCGCTGGTGTCGTGCCAGGCCGGCCTGGCCTTCAGCTTCCTCGGTGCCACACTGCGGCCGGCGCTGGACAACCACCACGTCCTGCTGGATCACTACGGACAGAACCAGGCCATCCTCAATGTCGGCAAAGCCGGTGAATACTCGCCGTATGTAGCGCACTTCGGGCGCTAGTGGGCTACGGTGGTTGCACTTTGATTAAAAGCTGTGTAAAATTTCTCACGGCTCCCAGGTTTCCAGCGGAGGTCTGGGAAGCCATGGCTACTATTTGATGCCATTTAGCTGGCTCAACTCAACTGCCACCACAGTGCACACAGAAAAATATTAACACCGTTAGCGGTGTAATTGCACAGTACATATCTGAGCACTTGAGGAAAGTTAATTTAGTCCCTTCCCCGCTTAAATTACTCGCGCTTCCAAATGAACACCAGGAAGAAGGTAATAGAACACTGTTAGGAGGGTTGGGTGTTTTACTACATGTAGCAAAACACCCAACCCTCCTAACAGTGTTCTATTACCTTCTTCCTGGTGTTCATTTGGAAGCGCGAGTAATTTAAGCGGGGAAGGGACTAAATTAACTTTCCTCAAGTGCTCAGATATGTACTGTGCAATTACACCGCTAACGGTGTCAATATTTTTATGTGTGTGTTATAAGGCTAGGTCATGTGAACCATAGGCTACAAACGTTGAGATATTAAATGAAATTATTTTGAGTGCTGCTCCTACTGGACGACAAGATACACATACAATGCACTTATTTTTTAGAGCATTACACACTAAGCAACCAAACAAGCCCGTGCGCATTTCATTCGACAAATGCTTACAGGTTATAAGGTCATAAGGACCCTCACATTGTTGTTGTTGAAATTGCTTTACCACACCAAAGTAAAGGCGTGTAGAAGGTGTATGTATTTGTGACCTGTGCAGGCAGCCTGATCGTGGTCGTGGGTCTGATGATGGTGAAAGGATCAGCGTTCCAACTGGTCGCTGCACTCCTTGCTCGACAGAAGCGCAAGTCACGCCGCCGGTGCGCCGTCAAATTTGCTTTTGGATGTGTCCTCTTTGAGGTTAGTCGCGAGTCGCATAACCGTAACCAAGGCAGTATATACCGCAACTATATACAGCGACTTATCGCAAGTGAAGTAATTGAACGAAACATGTACGCACATTTCAGCAATTTTTGCGGTAAAGACTAACGTATTTTACATAATGCAATAAACGAGATAACGCAACTAATAATGCTCAGCTGTGGGCCTACGAAGTGCCTACGCAAATTGTCTCTTGAGTTTTGACAGACGTCTACATTTCACCCGCAGCTGTTGGTAATCGTTTTTGTCTGCATAGTCGCCGCTCTGTTTTTCTTCTGGCTGCGTCAATTTCACGAGACGTACCGTGACACGCTGCCGCGCGCCCTAGTCAAGGGCTACCTTCAGAACACCACCATCACCGCCTATGTCAACTGGCTGCAGTACCGCTTCCAGTGCTGCGGAGTCACCGACTTCAAGGCAAGGAAAAAGACCGTTAGATGATATGTTGTTGAGTGCTCTCGCGAGGAACATCTTGTTATGAATAAAGTACAATATTTGTTATGACCTTTTCCTCGAATTAAGAAATGTAAAAAGTCGAAAGTGATGTAGGTATTCTAATGGGTGAATTTTCGTCCACAGGGCATCATCAGACAAGCAAAAATGTCGACGCCCTTTTTGCAAATGACGACGTCTATTTTGCTTGTTTGACGATGCCCTGTGGGCGAAAATTCACCCATTAGAATACATCACTTTCGACTACTTTACATTTCTTAATTCGAGGAAAAGGTCATAACAAATACTATACTTTATCATAAAGAGACCGTTAATTAAATAATAGAAATTGATTACTGGTGCCTAATGAAAACAGATAAAATAGAGCATTCACTAGGGTGACCCGCGTGCTCCGCAACGCGAAAAGGGGGTATTTACGATCGGCGGGTGTTTGGTTGTTCTTGTGTCGGTTGGGTTATCTATCCATTTCGGTCGATTGCTTTTTGATGGCTAAACGTTTTGGTTTGGAAAAAAAATATCCATCGGATCGAGGTGCCCGTGTCTGATAAGCATGCTTTCTACTTCAGAACCTGTCAATAGTTCAGTGAACCTGTCAAACACCTTAACATTTATATATTCATCGTACACTGTACATCGTACACACACAAAAACACCTGTCAAATGTGTTTTATAATTCAGGTGCGTAGTTTTTTGACAAATGAAAGGCGTAGATAATTTTCGCTAAAAATGGATTTGCAGAGGTTTGAAACATTTATATTTTTAAGAATACTGTTGCTTGTCATGCAAACGTGATGATTGGATCTTGGAGAGAACTGAATGCTCTTTCTAATGATAGCATTTTCAATTGTCAAGCCTATCAGGTTAAGCAGCAAACCCAGTGTAATTATTTAGTGGCACATTATGGGCAATTGTCATTTTCTCCAGTAATTTGTTCCACCTTGTTTTTGATCATTTAGCTTTTCACAATTTTTCCATGAAAGGTGATGCATTTCCCTTGCCAAAAGGCATTGTTTTAACTCTCTCAGTCTGCCGGTCACGTAAAAATAAAATAAAATCCAAAATCCGTCTGAAACGTCAATTTTTCAAACAAAAGTGCCCTCACGGGTGCACGTGGCGCGTGCCATCCCCTGCACCGCACACCATTCGATAGCCCGTTCGATTCTCTACACAATGCTGTTTTCCCCGTGACGATCGGGTGCACGGTTACCGAGATATTTCACGGAAACCGGACCCGTGTCACGCAAATTTAGCCATTTTCGCCCGATTTTGCAAGCCGATTTATACATGTAAAGTCTATGACGCGAATTTGCACTTTTCGGGCACGCGCCACGCGCTCGCTATCGACCCGATCGAGCTGAGACCCCCCAAAGGCACGTTGTCCATCCTTGTTCTATGAGTTGCGCAAACTTCAGCGCGGTAGGTGCAACGGTGTGACCTGTAACCCGCGCTACGTAGCACCATGTCGCGACCTTCGTAATAGACAGAAACTACGTCACCACAAATAGTAATATAGACAAGCGGCTGCGCCACTTGCTTCGCGGCGTAGCCAGAAAATGCCGCACCAGCCAATTTGCTTTCGAATGGTGTTTGATTTAAATCGGTCTGTCGTCTGTAAGCAGAGATATGGACGGAAACGTGCAGAGGAAAATTTTGAACATAATAACTATTCTGAGGGCTTAGTTGGATGAAATTTGGGTCATACGGGGTCAAGTCAGGTCAAGATGGTCATCCCTGGTCACACTGGGTCAGGCCAGGTCACCTTCTGTGAGGCCAGGTCGTATAGGTCACCACGTCACATTGGATCGGCCTGTACCACACTTCTACTACTTCTACCCATACCACTACTCCTACCACTACCCCTACCACTACCCCTACCACTACCCCTACCCCTACCACTACCCCTACCACTACTCCTACCACTACCCCTACCCCTACCACTACCTCTACCACTACCCCTACCACTACCCCTACCACTACCCCTACCACTACCCCTAACCCTTCCCCTACCACTACCCCTACTACTACCCCTACCACTACCCCTACTGCTACCACTACCCCTACCGCTACTCCTACCACTACTACTACCACTACCACTACCACTACACCTACCACTACCACTGGGTCATGTGAGGTCACAGACTATCAGATAAACTGATAAACTAAAAAGAGTTCTTAAAACTGCTCCTACACGTGTCACTCCATTATTTTTTATCGTATTTGGTGAAAATGGCGCCTTGTGACAAATGTGGCGCATTGCGGCAAACGCGGTGCATTTGTACCTGTCGTTAAATCATGCATCCTTCCACCGAATTGCACCTTTATCGGACCATATTTGACAACGTTGTGCAATTTGCGGCAAAATGACGCCCTGAGGCAAATGTGACGCATTGTGGCAAACGTGGTGCATTCGGTTAAGCGCATTGAAAACTGTATTTAACGAAAATCAACATCTTCATTCGCCTCTGTTTATCAAAATAAATGAGCTGCCAATCCGTAAATGAGAGGCACCCGCCGCCGCTTGCCATGCATTTTAATGTCAAAGTCCATTGAACCCGGCTGCCGATGCCTTAAAGACCGAGCAAAATTTGGAGAAAATGCACCTTTTACAGGGCGTGCCACGTGCGAACCATCCACCCCCCCCCCCCGAGACCCGAAACACGCCACTGCACGTGCCCATGACGTCATCAACACGCTGTGAAAATTTCAGCCCAATCGACCGCACCGTTTGACCTGTGCACGGCGTCAAAGCACCCCTCTGCACGGTGCAAACAGACAGACAGAAACACAGAGTTTCATTTCACAAATAGTATAGTAGATAAGATTTTGTTTAAAGACTGTAAAGCTCCTTACATTACTCACCTCCGATTTATGTAAGCGTTTGCTCAATGTCATGTTCTGGAACATAATGAAGACTTCAAATTGTCAGCTGTGAGCAAATTAATTGCGCTTTTTATGTAAACCACACGCTCAGCCCACGACGTTTTTTAAACGGCTGTTCAGGTTACGAACTTAGCCTTCTGAATATTGTATGCAGTTGTAATTCGGGCGTTCCAAGCTATGTACCATACGGTACATTCTAACTTCAGGCGTTACCAGCCCCAGTAATGCGGCACAGTCTATCGTCAGGCGTCTCCCACAGTATGTAGTCATGCGGTACAGTCTAACTTCAGGCGTTTTTAACATAAGTATTGCGGCACAGTCTAACTTCAAGCGCTCCCAACCTCAGTCATGCGGCACAGTCTAACTTAAGGCGTTCCCAATATCAGTTATGCGGTGCAGTCTAAGTTCAGGCGTTCCAAGCATTAGTAGTGCGGCACAGTCTAACTTCTGACGTTTTAAACATCAGTATTGCGGCGCAGTTTAACTTCAGACGTCCCCGATATCAGTCATGCGGTACAGTCTAACTTCAGGCGTTCCCAGCTTCAGTCATGCAGCACAGTCTAACTACAGGCGTTCCCAATATCAGTCTTGTGGTGCAGTCTAACTTCAGGCGCTTCCCACATCAGTCATGCGGCACAGTCTAATTTCAGGCGTTCCCAATATCAGTCTTGCGGTGCAGTCTAACCTCAGGCGTTCCAAACATCAGTAATGCGATACAGTCTAGCTTCAGGTCGGGGGCGCGGGAACTACTTTCAGACTGGGGGGGGGGGGCACACCATGATAGAGAGGAACCTAGGGTACCCCCAAATCTAGATTTCTCACCGGTTTTAGGCAGCTTATTTTTCATCCCTTGTCCCTTGGCTTTTTCAACAAAAAAGAAAACATTTGCAAAAAGTGCGGCATTCCGTCTCAAAGTTGTGGGGGCACCGCCCCCACGGTCCCAGAGCTGGGGGGCGGGGAGGGGCAAGCTGCCCCCACTGCCACCCCCCCCCCAGTTCCCGCGCCTATGCTTCAGGTGTTTTTAACATCAGTATTGCGGCACAGTCTAACTTCAGACGCTTCCACGACTATTCGAGGTTTGCGGGAAATAGACATTTCACTGAGGGCTTGGGGCTTATCATTGCAATCCTGGCTCTTAGCTCACAATAAAATTGATTATAAGTGCATGGCAGCAGAGCTGTTGCGTAAAAAAATATAATTTAATTTCTGTAGACGGCTCGTCTGTCCCGGCTGGACGGACTTCAGAGCGGACTACTGACCAGGACCCGGCCCTGCCACATGGCGGGACCCGCTTTTATTTACACGTTGGGCCCACGTGCGTTTGCCGTTTTGCACTGGTCAGCCGGGTACAGTCACGCGAGTAGCCTGCCACCGCCGTCCACGTGGTTCACAGCGCCGAATCACGTGCTCGCCGCCTGATTTAAGTGCTTTAATTTTAATTAGCATTCAGTTACGGTCAGAGAACAACTAAATCCGCATCATTTTTGCATCATCGTCAATACATCGTCAAAAACTCAATACTGTATAGTATATATCAGAATCTATACGAGAGTCGAGAGGTGACGCACGAACTGCCGTAGGTAAATGAGTCTCTACATAGGTATATTTTGCATAACACATATTATAAAGAAGGATGCCAGGATGAGTGTTCAATGTTCATACTCCAGAATTTATGCTCTCAAATTTAGGGTGTGAATTATACGTGCTATAGCTACCTTCATAGTACATATTGAGTTGTTGCACCCCCGCAGGACTGGTTTATCGCCGACTGGCAGCCCCGGAAGTGGCTGGCCAACCGCTATCCCACCGTGCTCTACTATCGTGACACCTACTACGCCACCGGCAAGAAGGTATACACGCACAGCAAAAAAGGTATAGGTCCGGACTACTGCACAACAGCACTGTGGAGAATGTGGCATATTTTTGTGATGGGTCGAACATAACCCGCGCCCCACTGGGGTCTGTGTAATGTATAACACGCCCTACTGGGGGGGGGGGGGGGCTATTCATAGCCCCCCCCCCTGCTAACTCCGAAACTACTGGGCCGATCGTCAAAATTCAAACGGCGTCTGATAGCCCCGGAA